CCTTCTCAACACTTGCCTTCTTGTGCCAGCGCAAGCGAACCGAGACGTATGGACCATGCGCCGACTTGCCCAAGGAGACGTCACCCCACTTGAGGCCCAACATTTCGCCAATGCGGAAGCAGCCCAAGTAGCAGCAGGAGAACAAGCAGCGAAACATAGCCCCGACGAATGGGTTGAGTCTGGCAAATCCGTTGATGAGGGTTGAAAGCTCGTCGATAGTAAGCGGGTGAGTCTTCTTTTCATCGTCGACGTTGTTTTGTCGATTGTACTTTTGAAGTCCCACAACGTATTGCTTGGACAAAGGTGCTTGGGCCGGGTTGGGCTCGACATGCTGGTCCTTAAAGTAGGCCACCAGGGAAGTTTTGGCGGAGTCGACGGTACGGGGTTTGCGACCAAGCGAGTAAATATGGTGAAAGAAGTCGGTGCAGTCCTCTGTCGTGGCTGCAGCAGGGTCGAGACCGTGCTTGTGTGACACGCAGAACTCTTGGAATTGCGTCTGGTACGTTAGGTATGTTCGTCGTGTCGACGCTCCACGGAACGAGTCCTGGATGGTTTGTTTGGTGGGCACGCTTTCCATTTTGCAGAATTGGATTTTGCGAATAGTTGTGGTGTAACCGATTACATATATTTAACTGCCCAATGGCATCGCGTACATGTCAAATGTTAATTCAATGTTGCTCCCACGACAAGATCCTCGTCCAATGATTAGGCGTCAAAAGCCGTTGACGAATCCAGTCACGATTCTTGTGTCGGGCAGCCAATGGTTCTCCTGAAATTGTCGGGTACTTGTCGGGTGTGTATTTTATGTTCCGATTAACAGTACGTCCGAATGTGCCTCAGTGTCCCAACTTTGCTCGAAATTGCTCCATTCTGAGGCCTCGTTCGGAAATAATCCATCGTTTGCTCGAAAATAATATTTTTCCTACCTCTAACACCTTATCATTTTCTGAATTGAACCATTTTTCAGGGAGATACGGGAACAGGACACAAACACATCACTACTAAGAATCACTATGAAGAATTAAAGGTCCTTGATTCCTTCAAAACGTGATGTACCATTGTCGAGGGGATACGTGCAACTTCATTCAAGTTGCCACGTGCGAGTCAACCAGGAACCTCAATCTGCCACTTCCGCGGAAACAAACGACGTGTACATGCGCTCGGCAGTTACATATTAATTATTCCCTTTAACATATTTATGTTGATATTTGTAATATGTAAGTGTATTTTTATTTAGCCCCAGAATAATTTACGTTTTGCAAAACGATTTATACATCCTGAAGATTGCGCATGCGCACATGCGGGAAAAGCGCGACACAGGTCTGCGATTTATCAATGCATACCGCACAGCCGGTCACGAAACTCTCCATTCCTCATAACAACAACCAATACTAACGTTATCGAGATCCTTTTGTTGCCTGTCGTATGAATCAACAACTGTAGCGAAAGACATCTTCGAACACCCAAATTCGTCATATTTCAAGAACGTGCGCATACATGTGGGTAAGATGCCTCTTGCCATTGGGAGCTGTGCATGTGTAGACCTTGCTGCATATGCTGAGTTAGTGATGGACTATCTTGTAGTATGAGTTGGATTACGCTAAGTATTACACAGCTCGAGAAAAGCGACGTCGAAGTTCGTCCATTTTCGATAGATGACATGCCGTCCGAGTATGGTGCACGTCACCAATAAACTACCAACTTTTCATAAAAATTTCTTGCTGCTATTTCGTTTTCATTTCTCAATTTATTTTAGCGAATAGATACTTAGAATGGAGAGATGGAAAACAACGCGTGGTATGGGCATGACATCTTCTCGACCAACCATTCCCTTTGTCTCACACAACTCTTGCCTACCACATCTCCAGGACGGTCTTGACGACGGCGATATGGACCGACCCGCAGTGCAACCCAACGTCCGTATGTCACGGTTCCATTCGAATGGAATGGGTCGTGACATGGTGGAGTTTGCCGTCGTTGAACGAAAATACTGTTTTCGCGAGATTGGCAACCGATCGGGAAAATGACTTGGAGGGGTTGCCTGTGGGAAAGCGAGCGCCGCACGAGTCCAACGACGGAAGCATCGCCAGGTATATGCCCAACACCAGCACCACGCTCATGTTCATTTGGAGCGGGTTTGCATAAGCACGCAACACACACGATGCCCGTTGGTCGGGATCACCCCCATAACGACTCGGACGTGAAAACCATTTGCACAGAGCTTCGGACACAGAAATATTTTAGGCATTAATACAATTGATGCATACGAATCCCAAGCTTGCTTCACGTAATTAAAATAATGAAGATAGAATGCTTTGTTTAACTGGAAGTCAAGTTGGGTAAAGTGTAACTAGAGACAGCATATCAAGGACAAACGCAAGTTCATACTACTGTAGTATTAACGTAGTACCAAGTGTTCATGCTCAAATCGGTAAAAAGTTAATGTAGTACTACTACCACTACTTCATCCGTCACGCTCGCAAGGGCTACCGGTAAACTACTGTACTGCAGGTTTGGAACCTACAGTCCTGCAACGTCAAATAACATATGACAAATATAAAGAGAGGTATTCTATTCCAAAACGATACTTGTATGTAAACTATGGTGAGGCAAGGAAAATTAATTCTATTTTGACTGAAGTACTCCAGATGTCGGAATCAACTTCTGCTACGAAATTCGATTATATTCTTCAAGTGCTTTCTTTGGGCGATTTAGAGTAGCGTGCGCCCGAACGCAATACGTATTCTATTTACAGTACAAATGTTACGTATTGATTTTGTACTGTAAAAATCCACATAACATTACACTACATATTCACTCCTAACGTTTGTAGTCTTTTTCGATGCCAATCAATATGGAGTTCAAACATGGCGGTGCTATCATGACATTCAATAATGGCGAGCTTTCATGGCTTTAACGATGCACCTTAAAATAACATACTACAGTAGTAGTCTAGAATTTCATAATGTTCATTCGAAAAATTGGATGGATCAGCACGTGGTTAAGAGTGGCAAGGGCTTGGCACGAGTTGTCAAGTGCAAATACTGCAATCATACTCTGCCAAACACAACTGCCCGATGGACGTCCCACCTCAAAAACTGCATCTTAGCCCCGGAGGGTTTCACATTTGAACCCAAGCGGCAGCGAGTGGCTATCGCCCGACATGACCCCCAAAGCTCCAGTGTCGTAGTTCAAAGCAGCTTGGTGGGGTCACAAGTTGGACAGTGCCTTTGCCAACATCATCTTTTCGACGGGAGTCCCCTTCCGATTTGCCGACAGTCCAGCTTTGGCTATTTTTGTGCACTTGGCCCGTCCAGCATACACGCCGCCGTCAGCGAAGTTGATAACCGGGCCGCTGTTGGACAGGGCCCATGCTCAGATGGAGAATTCCATGAGCGCTTTCATGGACAACCAGCCCATCGCCAGCTTGGTATCCGATGGGTGGACATCAATGCGAAACGATCACATGGTAAACTTTGTCGCCGTTTTCCCTTTGAAAACAGCTAGACCAGTGTTTGTGAAAGCCATCGCGACGGACGACATTTCGCAAACCGGTGTCAACATTGCTGCAGAGCTCGACCGTGCTATTGTGGCCATCGAGGTTTCCAAAGTGGGAAGTGTTGTGACGGACAACGCCGCGTGTATGAAGAGTGCCTGGAAAATCCTGGAACAGAGGTACCCTGGTTTGATCTGCAACGGTTGCGCTGCTCATGCAGTGAATTTGTTGATCAAAGATGTGTGCAAGTTGGAGGTGTTTGCCAACGCACTGGAGCGTGCCGGGGACGTGACTTCTTTTGTCAAAGACCGCAATGCTCTGACGAAACGATTTGAACGCATCCAGGACACGCTGTTGGCCGACGGGGAAATTTCCTCCAAACGCGCATTTGTCCTCCGTGGTGGCTACACGATGGTACACCCACTACAACTGTATTGCCCGCGTCCTCGAAAATCGCAAAGTCCTAGCTCAGCTCGCCAACACGGCCTTATTCCACGACCTCAAGGTCACGCCAGGTTCTCGGGTGAAGAAGGCTGTATTTGTGGATGCTATCACCGACGCAACGTTTTGGTCGAATTTGCAGTCGATGGAAGCGACGTTGCGACCAACTTGCAGCATCATCGGCAAGTTCGAGGGTGACACTTGTTGTTTGTCCGACGTGTATCGCTTGTTTCTCGAGTTGCGGGCGCATTGGAGTACCAGCGACGAGTTGACAGAACTGTTGCTAGACCGGTGGGCCTTTATTCACACGGAATCCATGGGGTTTGCGTATTTTCTGGATCCAACAACCCGAGCTGGTGAGGGGATGTTCGAGGATGACCTGTATGACAACGCCCATCTGCTACAAGAATTTGTTCTTGTCAAAAAACAAATCAGCTCAAATGTCGAAGCTGTCCGGACAGAGTTGGCAAATTTTGTCGATGCCATGAAGAATCCGTCGGACAAGGCAAAATTCTTCATCGAACAATGCGCCACACCCATGACATATTGGCACCAAGTGGGCTCAACGAAGTTTCCCATCCTGTGTGCAGTTTCTCGGATTATGTTCAGTGTTCCAACGTCTCAAGCAGCCTCACAACGTGTTTGGATCATTTATGACTTCATTTTGACCAAGCGGCGAAACCGGTTAAGTCCAGCGAAGGTTACGAAGTTGGTACAGTTGTATATGAATGCAGATTTGTCGTCCCGAGGCAGTTTGGTCAGTGTAATGATGGGCCAAGAAAGCGATGCGGGCGAAAGTGACGATGAAACCAAGACTTAGACTAGTACTGCATTCATTAATTACTACTTAATCCAATACGCATATTTTCGAAGCGCAATTCTTAAAGTCTAGTCTACCAAGGCAAAGGAAAACCTCTGTACTCCATCAACAAGAACTTCGTTAACCCATTGCCTCGGTCTATTCCCTGGATTGGACTTTGCCACAGTGGAACCGAGGCGTAGGATGGAGTAGTTGACGGCCTTGATAGCCCCCCGCAAGCGGGTTTAAGACGAAGGCTGTGATATTCGATGCAAATTGGATAATGATGTGATAATGTTGATTTTCACGGACGTGACGAGAATGATAGGATATGACAAGGAAGAAGGAAGATGTGATATGACTTGGCGCCTTCATTATTCTTCACAGCGGAGGGATGTCATAGCACATCACACAAAATTGCCAGAAAGCATAAATAATTCATTTTGAGAGAGGAAACACGTGACGTAAGGTAAATGTGTACTGTTTGTACTGTAGGTGTACTGTACAACAACACAGTACGCATTCAGGCGAACCCTAACTTAGAGTCTATCGCAAAGCGGGTTAGGTTTAACACCACCGCCAACCGCCTACTCGTACGGTAAATTATGCGGATGAAAGTGTCTTCCTGCAGTAATTTCCCAATTTCATTCGTAGCCGACACTTCCTATTACAAATAAATGAATCGACCAGGCCCTATGGGCCTGCTCGGGGAACGTCGACTCCACGCCCGTCGACGCTTTTGACAAAATATATGGGATTTTTATCCGGAAAGTGTTATCATCGGACACTGCCGTCACTTTTGGAGTTAACATCTGCCGCCACTTGACAATGGTTGATGATCGTGTCGTTGTGACTGCTGCAAGCTTAGCTGTCACGCCTACCGGGCCCGCCAGGACAAGTACAATATTCTCACTGTAACTCACATTGAATTTGACTCCATGCTTGGTAATCTGGCGTATGAGCAGTGGTTTCTGTCCAATCTGCGGTGTGGCCAAGCCACGTTTGTCCAACTGGTCAGGGTCCTTCGTGCTGAAATGGTGGCCACCACGACGCAGACTTCTTCTTGCCCGTGTCGTGCGCACTACCCTTTCGCTGTTTTGGTGGCCGAGCCACCACTGAGTCGTGCTGCTTCCGCTTCGGAGCAACCGGCAAAGCATCGACGCCGTCCATGTTCGGACTTGCAGTGGACATCGACGGTTGTGTTGTGGCGTCGACGTTTTTGCTTGGCGTGCCTACCATCTCTTCGTCATCCGAATATAGCCCAATGAAAAACGAGCACCAAATATTTATCCCGCTCTTCACATGCAAAAAGCGTCGACAGGCGTGGAGTCGACGTTCCCCGACCAGGGCCTAACATGATTAGGAACCTGCGGCGACGACGGCAACAGCGACTTACGGTAAGATGATTCCTCATTCGGCAATATCAAACAGTACCTCGTCATCATCTCAGCTGGGGACATCCAAAATAACGGTGTTTTTCAACACCAACGAAATTTATCACCACTACTAACATGTTTAGAATGGACACTAAACACCCGAGACACTTTACACCCGCGGCGATACCGAACAGCTCTAGTGGGTCGGCGACAAAACGGACTTCGCCCGTGGCAGCCCTTAATAAATACCATCAACTTCAACCCTTTAAAAATCAACCAGCATCAACGGTAACACCCATCGTTGAGGTAGCGTGGGCTATCGAAAGTCACGGTGTTTGTCAGCACCATACAATGTGAAGAAGAGAAATGCATGGTGATACTAAAATGAGTTGATATTACGCTTCTCTTACAACAGCGGTTATGATATCGCACGTACTACATCATAAATCCACTAGTGCTACCTCGACGGGCGACCATGCCTATTAAGAGGAGAACAGGTATAAAGGCGGTGACCGACCCTCAATTACATGTTTCAATTCATGGAACCTCGTGCATTGTATTTTCTGCTGAAACATTTTCATCTTGCTTCTAGATATAGTGAAACTTACATATCAACAACACCTGCCGTCTACTACAAGGTAAGCAAATCTAGAAGGATTGAATTCTACAATTTTGAAACTAACTAGACATCGCACATAACTCAATTTGAGCTGTGGTGCGTGGTGATTATGGCAGCGGTGGTGATCGGGGTATCGTGGTGATGGCGGCATGTGCGTGGCGGTGACAGCATGGACGCAGCTGTGGCGGCTCGGACACATGGTGGTGGCGGCGAAAATTCGTCGAAGCGTTGCCATATCGGAGCAGCAGTGGCCATATCAGAGCAGCAGTGGAGGCATGGACAAGGTCGCGAAAACGGCAACTAGGTTGTGGCCGCAGCCGTGGCGACCGCGGGAGCAGTGTTGTTTTAGGGATGGTGGCGTTGAACTACGATGCTGCGGTACGACAATTTTACATTCTCATATGATTTATTGTATATTGAAATATACTAACATGACTAGTTTGATGAGAGCCATCGATCCTGATCAAGGCACCGCGAACGACAACTGTGGGGGGGCTGCTAGAGTCGCTGGAGGGCTAAAATTCAAAATTTAATTGAACTTTTCTAATGTCATTTCTTTTGTTGTGTTGTGCGTACTGATTAACCAACCTTACTGCGAGTTGGTCGCCCCAGCCGACCAACCACTCAAAACGCGGGCAACATTCTGGTCTTCGTTCGAGGTATTGAAAACGTAAGCAAACGCCTTGTTTGTTGCTGTCATGTTCCAGCTGCCGCGATTAAAGATCCATTGCGGCGACAACTCCGACGAACCGTTGGCAAAATGGGCTCCTCAGCAGAAGGAATGGGATGTCAAATCAGCTAAGACTCATCCGTTTGGCAGATGCGATTCAGCATCGGTTGATGTGACTGTGGACTCCGGGCAGAGTAGAAACGACACCTTCATTTTAGCCGCTGCATCCACGGGCTCCACTCCGACAACCGCTCCGAATGCTTGGTAGAGCAAGTCAATCAAGGAGTGCGACGACATATCAAGGAGGGCGGCATGTGGCGTCGATTGCATCACCACAGCAGCAGCAATTGCGGTAAGAGGCAGCCAAGGAATTTCTCGTCGTAATTCAACGACAAACCTAGTTCGTAGGATGCCTTCACTCGCATCAAGCGCACGATTAGTACACCTGCAGCACTTACCGTGAGATTTGCCTTCTGGAGTGACGACAGGTCTGACGCACGGCCAAATAGGTACCATAACACAAAAGAGCGGCATCCTGGTAGTCGGTAGCATTCTTCGCGGTTGAGTATTGGTAGACCATGAGAGTCGAAGGTGGTCATTGGTACACGCTGAGGCCTTCTTGACAAACTCGCCCGAGTTGCGCATCATGGAGTACCGGTCGAGGGTTGAGTCCATTTTCAACAGCTTGGCGGAGACGGCGGTGCTAAGTTGGTAGAGTTCATTCAGCCATAACTTGATGTGGAGGTAGTACGACATGACTGTGTTCCGAGCGATCTGTTTCCCACCCTTGGTGTCGAAGAATGCCAAGTACGACCTAAACTTGTTAAGCACACGTTCAATGGCAACTCCAGTAGGGTCAAGAGCAAATTGTGCATGAATGTATTCCAATGTTACATTCACCTCAGTGACAAAGCGCGTAAACGACTTGATCCCTGTAGCCTTCGCCTTGGTCGTGCGTGTTGGCAGGCACAAGGTCTTGGATCCCCATGCAGAATGATCATGCCAAAGTGATTGCTACCAATTGTCCGAACACAACATTTTATATGCAGGAAAATATGTGTTAATGGTAGCGTTTGTATTGCACATATTCATATTTCGTGATTCATTCGGACAAAATCTGTCCGAACTGGTCCGTTCTTGTCCTAGCAATTACATATACATTGATTGGCTGAAATGTTCCCGAAAAGCGACAAAACGCAAGTATAATTGGCTGTTAATTTTATCCCCGGATTGGATTGGTTATTATTCTGGATACAGTGCTCAAGAATCCCCGCAAAGTGATCATATTCACCTTTATACCCTTTACGAATGCAATACGAATCCCTTTATAATCCGATTTTGTGTTATATTGGTTTTAGACGGGCTATCTATTTCACTCTCAGCAAACCAGCCACACGCACGACCGCCCTGACCAGCCACACGCACGACCGCCCTGGACAAGTCCGTTGTACAGCACGCCATCTACAAAGTGCAACGTCACTTTAGTCATTCAATCGTGCAATACAGTGATGGAAGAAAGGTTAAGACACACCCCAATTTAGACTTTACTCGCGTCTTTGTGAGCTGTTCGGCTCGAAAAATAGCTCTGCCGCAGCGTCAACATCTGTTGACAAGATAACAGTACGAGCCGGTTGCTGTTTTGCCGCATTGCGAGGTAGAGACGGTGGCTAAGCTTTTCTAGTATGGAAGTCAGGATAGGACATTTCAGTTAACTTCCTCTAGAGGACGTAATAATGCTTATAATCACCATCGATTTGAACCACTTCCTCTAAACAGCTCTACACAACACCTCGTGTACGTCAAATGGACCGTGGACCTCAACTCAACGAGTTTCAGCGCGGTCAAATTGTCGTGTGGAAGTCCAACGGCGAAACAGTGATATTCATGTCCAAGAGCCTTGGCGTTTCCCGCACGGCCATTTCCAACTACCTCAAGAACCCTGACAACTATGGCAAGCGTTATGGGCACGGGAGGAAGTCGAAATTGACGGTAAATGACACTCGGCACATTTTTAGGGCCGCGAGTAAGCCAGGTGCATCGTCCAAATCGATTGTTCAAGATCTTCAATTGCTTGTGTCGACTCGCTACGTACGCTACATGCTACAAGCAAGCATTCGGTTCGAATACGTCAAGCGTAACGTCACTCCCAAGCTGACGGATGACCACATTCACGCCCGCCATGCCCATGCCAAAAAGCACCTTGAATCCCCCCAACTGGTCGACCATTATATGGTCGGATGAGAAGAAATTTAACCTTGATGGCCCAGGCGGTATGCAGTCGTACTGGCGTGACATTCGCCACGAGAAGGAAACGTACTTCTCGCGCAAATTTGGAGGGAGAACTGTGATGGTCTGGGGGGAGTTTTCGAGCGACGGAGCGAGCGAGCTTGCGTTCTTGGAAGGCAACCAAGACTCAGACAAGTACTGTACATCTGGACGCTTCAAGACTATCTCTTCCCCTTTGCTCGCTGTCTCTACGGCGATGAAATCAACTTCATGCAAGATGGCGCGTCAATCCATCGGTCGAAGAAGACCATTTTTTTTTTTGAGAGGCGAAAATGTCATCCTTTTTGACCATCCAGCCTGTCTCCGGACCTCAACCCGATCGAAAACCTGTGGGGAATGCTTGTGCGCGGTGTCTACCATGGTGGCAAGCAATACCATAGCGTGGAAGACCTGACTGCCTCGATCAAGGTGGACGTATGGCTCATGAAACGACTGGTCGAGTCGATGCCACGACGTTGTGTAGCTGTCGTAGAGGCCAATGGTGCAATGACACCTTACTAGGGTGTGTTGCTGGAAGTTTAAGTCTTCAAAACTCATTCTTTGTGAAATGCCCTATTCTGAATACCAGGTTTGACACTAAGAATTTTATATAGCTGGAAGTCATCGTCATTTCTGCCGCAAATGAGTATGCATATCCTCTTTAACCTGTTTGTTGGGACCAATTCCAAAATCACAGAGCCTCACTTCACTTCCTTCGGTATGAACGAAAGTAATTATCTTGTGTCTTAACCTTTCTTCCATCACTGTAAGCGAGCTATGTATACTGTAGTCGATCTATACAAGACACAACTCAAGGTGCACAAGTGCCCAAGCGTCAATGACCAAGACATAACGTTCCCCGTCAAGATGGCAGTCACGACCACGACCGGACTGTTCCAAGGCACGGTGGCGGCAACCGTGGCCGCGAACGGACCATTCACGGACGTGGTGGCGGCTGCCATTCCCGTGACCGGACCATTTGCGTGTACGGTGGCGGCAGTTCGTAACCGGAACATTGTTGAGGTTAGTTGAGTCAAAAGGCAATGGTAAACAGACGTGTAAACTTTTATTATGGAGCCGTGATGTTGTGCTTCTTTATCAAATCGTACACGGTGTGGTAGGATATGTCGTCGACACGCCGCTTTGTAGGGGAAACTCCAGTGGCTGCTGAAATTGCTATATTGCTTGGGCACAAGCGCCTCGCCACGTGTATTGCGCTTGATTGATGCGTAGTCGAAATACATTTGGCAGATATTGCTGGGCAATGGTACATAGCTGGATCGTGGTGTCAACCACGAATGACGGGTGCTCTGTGTGCAGCCAACGCTTAAACCCTTCCAGGATAGCGAGGTATTGGGCCCTTGTGTCATCTACAAGACGCATAGCGACCACTCGATCCCCTGCAATTTCTTCCACATCACCATCTGTGTGCTTCCGCTTTGTCCTGCCCATTGCTGATCGCAAAATGGATCTTTCAACATTCCGGATATCCAAGGCAGTTACATTCGTAAAAGGGTACTATTTTGTGGATACAATTTTTATAATACGAAAGGCAAGACTAAGTCAGAAATAGATCCATGATATTTGCCTTTTACGAATCCTGGAAATTCGTGACGCAACATATAACCGGACAAAAAAGTTCGTGATCGGTCTCACACCGTTCGTAAAAGGGTACTATTCACGCATATGAACGTGTCGACGTCGTCGTGAGTAGCACGTACCGGTACGTCCACACGACGAAATCGGCCGACGCGATTCATCGGTATATCGACCAACGGAGACCTACGATTGGCTCACGCATTCGTGTAAGTATCGATGCCCACGCATGGGGTCGGATTGTGCCAGGTGACCACGTCCTTACAAACGCCAAGTATAAAACCACGATCCACTCCACCCCGTATACCCACCCACTCGTAGGCCGCATGCGCCCACCAAAACGCCCACGAATACAGGATAACCTGTCCATAACGACCCATTGATTGGGTTGATCTTAACGTGGTGAAGAAATTCTACGACTCTGATTTAAATTTGAAGAATTGGTCAAGTAACGTTAATAAAGATTTAACCAAGCGGTATTTTGCATGGGCGAATTGAATTGGCCACAATGTCTTGATCTTTGTATGAGACTGGTATCAGTACATCATATCCGAAGGTAAATGAGCTTTTGACCTACCTCTAAAGTGATAAAACGCATGAAACCCGGATTTAACTTATTTAGTTTTTTGGGTTTAACTACATAACCTCTGTCTTGGATGAAGTAATAGGACATTTGGCACATTCATTGAAAGTCAGATGCAGATTTATCAACATATATCCATAGTATGATATTTATACTATTAATACGTAGTAGAAACATAAAATGGCCATATAAATATAAAATGAGTAACGTTATGTATGAACTATAAATATAAAATGAGTACTGTATGTTTGTATTTGGAGTCCCATCTTCAGTACTACTTCAGTACTACGCAGTACTATTTATTACCTGAAGTAATACGTAGTATATCCCCAGGGAACGTTTTGGACACAAAGCATATCGACGAGTTCATTACGTTCGAGCATGCACGTCCTATGTAAACTATCGCACTATCAATCCGCTAGCTATTCCGTACTACTTAGTATGGGCTATCGTTTTGTCGGCGGTGGGGCGGGGAGCTACCAGCGACAGCATGTTTTGAACGGCAAACAAATGCACGGGCAGCGCCGACGCTTGGCGCAGCGTCGTGGGGTGTACGGTTAGCCACGCCAGGTCATGAAAGCATTTCAAAATTTCAACGGTCACGCCGACGGGGATACCGTCCACTTTGGCACTTGACAGGCCTAATATCGCCTCGACATGAAGCTGCACGATGTTTGGTGCAGCCGACAACCGATCCAAGCCTACAAACACACAAACTTGAACCCCGTTCAGTGTTGTGTTCAATCATGTACCATGGACATTAGCTGGTTTGGACGGAACGATGAGGCCGGCGTCGTGGACGGCGACTGCGCGGGAAATGTCTGCATCCTGGCGGTTCGTCCATCCAAGGTCGCCGTCGACTGCCGCAGACGACAGCACCCATTGGTTTACTACAACGGGCTGCGTATCCCCAATGGCCTTGGACTCCCATACGTCGTGCCAGATGGCCCTTTCTCGGTCATTGATTCGAGCCAATGCATTGGTGGCTACCACCGCAGCCGGGGCATCCTGGTCGCGCCCAAGGGCTGCGAAATGCAGTACTTTGTCCACGAGCAGGGCAATGTCTTCTGCCCGGAGGTCGGGCGCGTCGATAAACACTGCGTCCGTGGCCATAACGCCCCCGTTCGAAGTCACCAGCGCCGATAGCAGCCACCCATTGGCCAATCCGTAGCCCAAAAACACATGAAAGGCGGCGCTCGGGTCGGCCAAATGGTACATTTTCTTGGTCACGCCATGCGGCAAGCACGCATAAGCGTCAGCGGCCAGGCCCGCGGGAAGGGGTTCGTACAGACGATCGTACAGGGCAAACGACTGCTCTCGGAAGTACGTCGGCTGGACATGCACACACGTTTCCACCAACTCTTCGACGTACACGACTTGAAACGAGGGCTGCCATCCATCAAGTTGGGAAGAAATCGCACCAAGGAAATCTGTGACACGGTGGGAAAACTTGCTGCCGAACGGAGCAACGACGAAAATCGAAGCTGTCGTGTCGAACGCAGTGCGTCCTAAGTCGGTAACTGCCTCGCGATACGTTTTGAATGGATCTGCCGCGTCGTCCGACTTGTTGACAATGACCAGAGCGTTCTTGTGTGTTTCATGGTCGACATCGTTGAAGGTCCCCAAGGATGCATTGATGTACGAAGTCCGCAGGGACGCCATGTACATGTGTGACAGCGTCGCGATCCAGTCGCCGGACGAGTGCGGGCAGATGACGGCCAAGCGCACGGGCTTGGGTCCGCCAATGGGAGCGCAGGACCGCAGCGTCCATTCTGGGAGCAGCGACGGCGGGAGGGCGACGTGGGACGAGTCGGCTTTCGACGCGACAAACGATGGCGGTGTTAGCACCTGCAAACGACGTTCACGTCGTCGCATGTTTACAAAAGCCTAGACAGATACTACGTACATGTGTTTCGAGGGGGCCGTTTGGGGGTTGTGTCGTCACATGCGACAAGTATTCTTGCGCATTGAGCCAATGCGAAGGCGCAGCTCCATACAAATGGCTCAGGGACGACAAGTGCGGCTCTACCAACGACGTGAGCACTCCAAGTTGGTGCTCGGATGTCGTGTCGTCGTGGCCATTGGCTTGATGGGTTTGCCAGCTCACCACTGCCGCCTTTGCAAGCCATCGAGCGCCGCCACCCACCTTGACATCCACAACACACGGCGGCAGGGCCGACTGTGGCGATGCCCTACTGTCAACCTCCCGGAAGTCCGGAGTCGGCTGCTGGATTCGACTCGGGGGAACGATGGCCTTGGTGTGCATGTAACGACGGGGTGATGAATGCGCCGCGGGTTTGTACACGTCCGCCGTGAACGTTGCTACGCCGAGAGACTGAGATGTGGTGCGCTTGGACGCCGATAGCTCGGCCTTGACGTCCCGAGCTAGCCACTCGAGGGCTTGCTTGTTCAAGTTGAGCGGGTGGGCGGTGGCTGGCTCCCGCAGGGGCACCGACGGGGTGGCGTGCTCGAGGTTGACAAACTTGACGCGGGAGAGGGGGTCGTCGGCCTTCTTGCTGGCTTTTTTCAGCTTGCGCACGAACGGCTGCACCTTCCGCGCCCGCTTGAGACCAGGCAGTGCCCCGCTTTGAAGGGGAAACTCGACGCATACTTGGCGTCCTTTCGACGGCAATTCCGGGGCCACAGGGACCAGGAACTCCTATATCGAATACATGAGTCATCTACCTGGAGTTGTGGAGAAGGGGGGTATTTGATATATTACGTCGTCGGGGTCAAATTGGCCCAGCAGAGGCGTGTGCTACACAGATGCCACGGGTCATCCTTGTCGTCGTCGACTATAAATATATATATATATATATACAGCAGCACCTTCTTGTCCACAACGTTGTCCTGGCTGTTGTCGTCGTCGTCCTTGTCAAAGTCGGTTTCGAACTCGTCGGTCACCTCTTTCGACACGTCGACGGGGTTTTGTGGACTGGTGTCGTCGCGAACGCGCTTGAGCCGGGGTTTCTCCTTCTCCACCAGGCGGGGAAGCGCGTCGTCGCAGGAAAAGGTGTCGGCAACCGCCCACACGTCGGCCAACTGACTGACGCCATGCAATCGCATCAAAGCGTCGTTCTGGGTCGTCCAGTCTTGGTTGCTGCTACTTGGGACGATGGACACGACCAACTGCGACGGTGTGGACAGCGCCACTTTGAGTCGAAACCACCATCTAGCATCGCCGGCAGTCTCTCGGAGAGTGTTCCAGTTGTCTTTGCGGTTCGACGACAACGTACGGAACTCAAAGGTCGGCTCGCCGTTGACCACTAGTCCGTCGTCGCCATTGGCCCGTTTGCCCCACGAAATCAACGAGTGTTGCACCATCCAATCTCCGACTTGCTGCTCGACAGCAGCTAGGAGCACCTTTCGGATCGACGTAGGCAGGTCAGTGCCATCGCTTTTCCGCCATGAACCATGCTCGACTTCTATGGACAGACAACAGATGGGAGTTCCATTACAGTATCGTTCTACTGCCGTACCTGTGAGGTCGATCGATAATGACTGAAGCAAGTCAACTCGACGAACGTCCAGGTTGATAAGAAACAGGTAGACAGTATCACCCACAGTGATAACGACAGGTGGAACCCACGCCGTGCTCGGGGGGGGATTCGAGCACGCAAGGAACGACATCACTCGAGCATGCAAATTCGCGATCGTTGCTGACGGCTTCAGTATGCAATAGTCAAGGACCTCTATTTCACCCTGGAGGAGTCAAGCACAGAAGCTCATGTGGGTCCTACCAGTGGCCAGCAATGCATCGTGATGTCAGGTGTGTCGCTCATAACTTCCATCGACATCAAGCACCCAGAAGCGTCGGATTGCTTCAGAGTTAACTGCGAATCGCCAAAAATGTATTTTGGCCAATGATCGTCGAATAAACTAGTTTTTTTGGCCAACCAACTATTTTTGATTTGGCACGGACCCTGTTCGTCAAGCTGAAAATATTTGTCTCTGATTGGCTACATTATATTTTTCTTTTTCCTTCGTGCTTTCCGCGGAATCGGGAAACTATTCACGTTACCGCGAGCAGCATCGGCGCCAGCGTCTTGCCAACATACGACTCGCTGTAGATGCGATCGGTGGTCGCGTTAACCAGCGTGCGGCACGAGTCTTGACGGAACCATGTGGAGATTACTAGTAGTAGTACTACTAGTAGTAGTAGTTGGACTCTCGTCCATTTCCAAGTACCCGTATCAAAATTGGAAAATTTGCATTTATGGCAAATTCATAATACAACGTCCAATAATTTCTGGGAGATGCGGGGCGGGACCTGGATGAAAACTCATCATAACACGAAGTTATGGAAGGCCGAGATCGAGGCATTCATGGTTGGCGAGAGCAAAATCTGGAGTTTCTTCGGAGTCATCCAACTTCTTGGAGAGAGGGACATTGGCTACTGTATTTACACGCTTTCTATCGCTCACTGCAAGTCTGTCAGAAAATTCGTGCAGAGCAGTTCCGGATACTGCATTACATTTGCGGATGATATATTTTTATTGCGCATGTGCATGCTTTGTGGTTATTACAAGATAGATGGTGCACGTAAACTCCCACAAAGCAATTTCATTCGATTCGAAAGTGGAGTAATGAGCAGCACCAAATCGGCAGAAAATCGATTGACCAATCAAAATACAAAACATGAATCAACTAGCCAATCCAATCCACTCTTCGAATAATTCAACATCGAATTAGTGTGTGCTTGAAATTAGTGTGATACTGGACGATCTTTATATTGCAAAAGTCAGTAAATCAAAGAATCAGCACAAAAGTCCAAATATTGGGGGGTAAATGGACAATACTGTAAATGTTGACTTGACCAATTTAGTTGGTGCTGGAATCGAAGCAACTATGTAACTCTGGTCAACGTAAACGATGGATTTCCATTAAAACAAGTGGGATTTGCGCAATTCGGTGTACTTTTTGTACAAGTAGAACGAGCCGGCGAGCACCCCCGACGACACGAGTACGAACGGCAACTTCCACCCGCCTGCGGCGTCGGCCTTGCCCGTCACTTGTCCGTGCACCTGGTTCTCCAAGTCCACCGCGACCGAGTCGATCTTGGCGTTGACGGTCTTTTTCATGTACGACTCCACGCGGCCGCTGAGGTGCAGCAGCTTATCGTGAATCTCGATCTCCCTCTCCTTGATCTTCTGGATGTTGCGCGCCGTGCGCTCCTTGAGTGCGACGATCTGGTGCTCAATGTTCACGCGGGAGTTGCCGAGCGACTTTTCCAGGATGATCAGCTTGCACGTGTTGTCGCAGTGGTCGCTCTTGAGGATCTCGTTGTGCTCCTTCGAGTAGTAGTTCCAGTACACGTCCGAGTCGGTCAGATGCATCTGGACATCGTCGGCTTCGGAAAAGCTGAGGAAGCCCAGCACGTCGTGGTTGTCTGCCAGTCCGCCCGTGGACCCTGTGATTCCCACCGTCACGTCCTGCAGCCAGTCGGATGGCAGCGGCAAGTCCCCTTCGTAGCACGGCTTCCACTCGGACGTGGACTTGGCATCCACCTCCAGCTTGAGCTTGACGCCGTCCACCACGATGCGCAACCGGGACGAGCTGAACACCGGGTCGAAGTGCGCGCTTTCTTCGTGGAAACGCAGCGCGGCGTCGCAGCCAATCTTGGTCTCGTCTTGCAACGTGTCGGTGGTCTTGGTGCCGTCGTTGATCTGAATGGTCACGTCCTTGTGCCCTCCCTTGTGTTCAGAGTTCACGAATGTGTCAATCACGATTCCCACGCCCACGTATTGGTCCTTGAACCCGTGGTTGTCGCCGTCTTCGTGCGTCGGTGTGTGGGTCAGCCACAGCCCGATGCCATCCCCAAACCACTTCTTGCCTTGGCCGGAAATTCGGAATTGAAGCACGGCGGAAAATGTGTTTCGCCCCAACGGAGCGGTGTTCCACACGTTGCCATGCTTGCTCTGACGGTCCGGGGTCAAGCGGATAAAGTTCTTTAACACTTCCGTGGACCCGCCATGGGACCACGTCGAGTTGACAATGCGCTTGCCAGCGCGATCAAGGGTCTTGAAGGGACCGCTGAAGGAGTGCTGCTCGAGCTTCGAGCTGGTGCATTCAAGGGCAAGGGCAAGCAGGCACGCCAACGCAAACTGGACCTTCATGTGTGGGCCGGCGTCCTGCAATTCGAATTGCAATGTGGTGTTGGGGCCGACAGCGCTTATAAATAGAGTCGATTACCTTTCTCGTTGAATGTACGATACAACGTACGGGTACAACCCATTTGTTTTACAAATGAAAACGTACGTACATTCAACCGTCGTACGTAAGTCCTCCGACTTTATTTGGCAGAGAACATGTTAATAGATGACCATCGTCCTCGCTGCATACTTTGGCCGAACTCGTTCTCTACCGCCATGGGTAAAAAACTATCATTGAATATGCTAGGGCTGCTCTATAGCTTTTACAGTAGTGGAATCCATTCATTTTGAATGACATATTCACCTGACTCATATATCGTACGTACTAGTATGCAATCAATGAGCACCAATGCCACTATCCATGGAAGTCCAGCCACGTGTGATCAACCTGGCCACGTGTCAGGTAAACCTGAGACGCTCATAATATACGGTCGATGGGGGCCATTCCGACGTATTTCCTGTTCATTTGAACAATAGTTGTCCGGATATTGATCATTTTTCAGCTATTTTGACTGATTCGCGCGTCGTTTTCCGGATTCTGCCTCGCTCATTTTTCCGGAAGCGTTCGTAGCACTCGCGGATTTCTGAAATTGGACGATGGCGAAGCTGCACTTCCTCCACATGCTCTTGCTGCTGGCGTTGGCCATATCCATCTGCGTCGCCGACAAGTTGGAGGTTCTGTCGTTTGATGGACCTTACGACAGCATAGATGCCAACGGTCAACGCTTCATCAATGGCACGTGGATCCATGGAGGGTCGGCGGAAGTGAAAAAGAACTTCATCCGCCTGACGTCGGATCGTCAAGACAAGAAGGGTTACGTGTGGAACAGCCAATTGATTGGCCGTGACTCGTTCGCTACAGTGCTGACGTTCCGCATATCTGGCCAAGGGAAGAAATGGTTTGGGGATGGCATTGGGTTGTGGCTGACGTCGAGCCAAAACTATGTGTTCGGCGACAATCACGGGTTCACGTCCAACTTCGCTGGCATTGGAATCATTATCGACACATTCAACAACCCAGACCACAAGGGCGGGCACAAGGACGTGTCGGTGCAGATCAACGACGGGTCCAAGTCGTTGCAGACTTTGAACGACGAAACCAAAGTAGGATGCGACGCCGCGCTGCGCTACCACGAAGAAAGCGCGGCATTCAGTCCCGCACACAGTGCCTCTCGCATCAAAGTGAAAGTCATCCAGCAAACGCTCTCCATTGAAGTGGACGAGAAGAGCACCGGCTCGTGGAAGCAGTGCTACGAGACCACGCTTCCATTCAATGCCGACTGGCTGCGCACCGCCACGTTGGGCGTCACGGCCGCCACCGGCGGCGTGGCCGACAACCACGACGTGTTGCGATTGGTTAGCTTTGAAGACGTGAACGACAAGGACATTGGCGAGGACGACTCGGTCTCGTTGCTGCAGAAGATGTCTAAGGATTACCGAAAGTGGCTCGTCGAGCCGTCGTGCCATTCGGACTGCCGCATCGCCGTCCTGACCAAGCAGATTGAAAATTTCCGCATCGAGTCGGATCATGCGCTGATCGACCTGAAGGAGAAGACGTCGCACACAATCAGCAAGTTGCGCGACCAAGAGCAAATGAACGAAAACCGGCTTGAGAAAATCTACCAGCGCATCGTGTCGGTGGTGGACAACAAGGTCCAGGACAAGATCACCAACACCGCCAACCAGGTCAAAAGCAAAATCGACGAAAAGGTTAAGAACGTGACCATCGGCGGTGGCTGGAAACTCCCGTTCCTGGTGCTGTTTGTCGTGCTGGCAGTGGCCAGTGGCGTGGCGTACCAGAAGTACCAAGCGTTGCGAAAGAGCCATCTATTGTAAATCCACACATTTCGATCCAATAAACGCTTCAGTGTTTCATGTTCGCAAAAACTCAGCATTTGTATTGTTGCCTAGAACTCATAACAGTACTACTCGGATTCATGTCAACGCTACTACTGTATGTATAATACACCTTTTTGCGGTTAATTTCGAAAAATATCGGGTATATTTCGTGGAATATTTAAATTCGTAGATATTCATTATATTTCGCGACACCGGCATTTACAGTTAGTTTCGTGGGTATTAATATCTACCAGCCCCTAATAACGCAGACCAGCGTGGACGGGAATGTTCGCAGACCAGCGGCTGGTCGGGATGATTCATCCCTGCTTTTGAGTGTCCGTTCCTGCTTTTGCACGTTTTCGATAGAAATTAAGAAATAGTTTTGATATATTTTCAGAATCCTCGAAAATAGTTCGGATAACATCCCTGCCTTAACTCCCCTAGGACCAAAATGCGTCTTAGACGTACCGTACGCCTAAGACGTACGAATGGACTAATTTGTCTGAAACCTGTTTACTTAAATCAAGAGAAGAAATGTTCAAGAAATATTATTGAGCGACATGAAGGAGGGGCGATTCTGTTCTGTCCATATTTAGCTCAATATACATTTACTTAAGTACGACTTAGACGTACGTCAAAATATACTTATTCGTCTTAGACGTACTTAAAATGGTCCTAGGGGAGTTAACAAAGCGTGGATGGTTTTTCACAGACTAGCCAGTTGTTTTACACTTCCTCTTCCATGGGAGTGCTAAGACAAGTCATGGTAGTCGCCGCCACCACCAATGTCTTATGTTTGGGCCTTCCAATCGCTAACGCAATGTTGGGCCAATCACATGCACCGAACGCATTGCCCCAGCGCACCTACGCGAAGCAGATCCATCGGCGGTCTATTTACCCGACTTGGAAGGGCGATAAGAACGGCGGTGGCATGACCACTACGTTAAGCGTACCGACTCCCACGAAATCAAGCGGTGACTTCTGGCCAACGTCGAAAAAGTGGCAAAATATGGGAGGTGCAGTTGTCCACTGGCTTCAGGACTTCTGGCCAACGTCGAAAGAGTGGCAAAATATGGGAGGTGCAGTTGTCCACTGGCTTCAGTACTTTGCTCTAGCTGCCATCATCGGGGCCTTGATGATGCCAATGTTGAGCTGTGCATGCGCCATGCTTGTGCCCCTTGCCATGGCTACGTTTGGAACTGTTGTGGCTGGAGTCGGCACGATCCATGCTGCCGGTGGCGTTGCAGCGACACTCAGTCGCTTGACATTTCTACTGTTGAGACCCTTGCCAGTGGCTGCTGGCGCCCTCGTGGGGATGGTCGTCGCGGCACTGGTCGTTGCTGGTTGAGTGGTGTATGCCAACCACCAACGTTGATGTAGTACAGTTAAAACTATCACTGCATCCAGAATGCATAACATTACGAAACTGCGTTGACGCATTGCAATGGCCATGCCATATTGCGAGTCATGCAGACAAGTCTTCGGACTAGACATTACATTATTACATTATTGTGCTAAGTTGCCGCCCAAATCATCTCGTGGCTAGTTGAACAATAATAACAGTGGTTGAGAAGCAATCAATTGATAGGTGGGGGTGTTCAATGATGCTCGAGAAAGGTACGTTTCTCCGTGCATATGCCACTTCACATGTGAACACACCACAAAGTGCAAGGCAACCCAAAATGCACCTGCGTTATCGGTTGTTGCACGACCGGTATATATGTTGCGATAACGTCAACTACTACGTAGTACTCCGAGTATATATATACCCGAATTGCGCAGAATTGGGAAATTTGTAGCAAATTTATAAGCGGAATGAAACTTAGCGTTATCCCTCCGAATCGTAGAAGCCCCGCCGAGGACTTTCGCCGCTTCTTAGGATCACACCGCTCCGCTCGACCCCATTGCGCACAGAAGGGGTGGTCTCTTGTACGGTGCTGTCCAACTGAACCCGCTTGTGGGGCGATATTATTGTCATGCCAAACGATACCAATATGAGATGACACAGGAGAAGCTTCCGGATACTACCGGTAGTACTGTCCACCAGGTAATATTCCTATTAATACTATTAATAATAGAAGCGATGGAATACTATTAGTAACTACTAAACGTCTCCAATCATTTACAAGCATTCGGATTTCACCGCGAATAGGAGCAACATGCGGCGTATAATCCAACACTTGGCCGTCGTCGTGGCCTTAGCCGCAGCGTATGTAGCAGCGCAAGCGAACGCTCAAGGCGACGCCTTCGCCCTTGCCGACGAAGATCATGACGGTGTCTTGCAGCGCCGTGAGTTTGTGAAGTGGTCCAACAAAATCCGGGACGCGATCAACCCGCTGCTGGCGGCGGACGACAGCGCTGCGGTCCCTCTGTTCGTCACGAACGAGCGTGTCAAGTCCGATCCTACCGAAGACACGAACTCTGGAGCGAAGCGAGCGAAGAGCACAGTGAGCAAGTTCTGGTCTGGTTTTATCAGCGGCATCGTGACGATTTGGGCGACGGAAGTCGGGGACAAGACGTTCTTCATCGCTGCCATCTTGTCCATGAAACACGACCGCATCGTGGTGTTCGCGGGTGCCATCGGAGCGCTTATCGTCATGACTGTGCTCTCTGTGGTGCTGGGCGGCGTCGCTGCCATCTTGCTTCCTCCGTGGCTGACTCACTATGCCGGCGCGTGTCTGGTATGTTGCTACTATCGCAATGCCTTGACCGACTTGCATATGTTGTAGTTTGTCGTATTTGGCTTGAAAATGCTGTACGACTCGAGGGAAATGAACGCCAAGTACGTCCCATTCGCACTGGTTATGCATGGTCTTGGCTGACTTCTGGACACGCAGCGGTCCATCTGACGAGCTCAACGAAGTCGAAGAAGAGCTGGAAGGGAAAAAGACTGCCGAGGATGCTGCTGGGTACACGTTTCGATTTGATTTCTTCGTCTATAAGTACTAATCTTAGAAATGCCGAAAATGGCGAGGCGACCCCAACGAGCCCGACGCCCCCCCCCGGCGCGTTCCAAGTGTTTTCCCAAGGCTTCTTGCTCACGTTTCTCGCAGAGTGGGGTGACCGCTCCCAGGTTAAATATTTATATATACACATATATCATTAACGAATGTTTGAGCAGATTGCCACGATTACATTGTCTGCATCGAACGACGCCTTTGGTGGTACGAAATGATGGTATCGTTGGTCACTAATTCCACGGATGATTAGTGACATTGGGCGCCATCCTTGGACATTCCATGTGCACGGGGCTGGCCGTGGTCGGGGGCAAGTTCCTCGCGTCGCGGATTTCGGAGAAGACGGTCACTATTGTTGGGGGCGCCTTATTTTTAATGTTCGCCCTCCACGCGCTGGCGTTCCCGCCGCAGGAATAACAAGCGCAAGCTGGTATTTCCAGTGAAGGTAGTACTGAGTAGTGTCCATATGACGAGGCCATCAGCCAGGACGACTGTCGTTCGATATAATACTGTAATCGAATCCAACATATTCCGCGTTTGCATCTCATATACTACGTGGTTACTAGTATTAAAAATGGTCAGCCCCCTAGTTAGTTCCGGTTAATTATCCGGATATATATCCACAACTATTTAGAGATTGTATGGATTAACGTGGTTATTATGTTGTCCTTTTCACCCAGATTTGGGCAGTCATTCGATGCACAATTGTATCCCATACAATGTATACTTTACGAAAATTGAATAGAACTACACCACCTCCCAGTCAAGTTAAATCGTTTTTCCAGTCAAGTTGGAATTTAAGACGTCTGCAACGATAAAAAACATACCAAAAAGGTAGGAAACGAACAATTTCAAATACCAAGTTGGAATTTTAACATTCAAGATGAAATGCACTACTGGCCATAGACCATGTCCTCCAATCGAAAGGCTTTTTCGACATTGCTCTGGCAAAACACCACCTCTCGGATCACCAACGACTGGGTAATGCAGGGAAGCGACTCTCGAGCTGCGTCCTCCAACAAGACCATCCGACGCTCCAGATACGTATTGTAGTCGCCGCGGTCAAACATTGCGCTGGTATGATGGGCAAGGTAACCCTTGATCTTGGACTTGAGAACGCTGAAGCAACTTTCAATAGGGTTTAGCATCGGCGAATACGGCCCAAGTCGGAGGAGCGTCATGTCATCATGTTGGACAACGCGTCGTTCCGTTTGCGAGTGGGCTGGCGCGTTGTCCAAGATGATGACAACACGCTTGCCTTCGAAATGGTCCCGCCACACGTCGCTTGCTTTCACGACTTGGTAAATCTCTTCAACAAAGGCTGCGTTTTGGTCCATCTTGATGCTTCCGCGCTCAAGGCGATGGCAAACAAGGCCCAAGTCGGGTGAGATGGCGCATTGGACTTGCAGATTTGGACCCTTCGAAGGCGGCAATATGATGGATGCGCGTGTGCCTCTTTTTGAGCGTCCTCGGTTTCGCTTGCAGTACAGATTGAAGTTTGTTTCGTCGTAATAGACAATGAAGTCTCCATTGGATTGATGGTGTTTGAGGTGCACAGTGAATTCGTGACGTTTAGCTTTGTTGA